ATGGATACGATTCATTATTAGATTTATTTTTTGATTCAATGTGGTAATATCTTTTGAAGAAACAATAATAGTGGTATCATCTGCGTAAAGAATGATATGAGCTAGACCTTTTAGGATACTAGGAAAGTCATTGATGTAGACATTAAACAGTAATGGACCCAATACTGAGCCCTGGGGAACACCATGCCTGCTAGTTAACCATCTGGAAACAGAAGTGTTAAGGTTTTGAGTCTGTAATAGAGTTCTCTGCTTCCTGTTAAATAAGTATGATTCAAACCATTTCAAAATGGATCCTCTAATTCCATAATGTTCCAACTTTTGAATTAACAAGTCATGGTTAACGCAATCAAATGCCCTTGTAAGGTCACAAAAAATACCTACTACCAGTTCCTTATTATTCCATGCTTTATATATTGAGTTTGTTAAGTTAAAAATTGCATTTTGTGTCGATGCACCATTTCTAAATCCATATTGCTCATCAACAATAATATTATTATTTGTCAACTGTTGTTTTAACCTATTAAAGACTAATATTTCAAATAATTTGGAAAATCCTGTCAACAGAGAAATAGGCCTATAGTTAGATATTTCGGATGCATCACCCTTTTTAAAACATGGTATGATGTTGGCATATTTTAGCCGATCTGGGTATATTCCAGTATATAAGGATAAGTGGAATATACCCAGATCAGCTAAAATATGCCAATATGTGCCTTAGAACTGTTCTGTACTCATGCCAGAACACTATACTGACTTGAGCTGAATTCTCTTCTTCAGGGTCCAGATCAGTTGTGGGTCCCACCCAAATTTCTGTCCTGGGGTAAAGTGGGCAGGGCATAGGGTTCTCTACTCTCCTCCATCTGGGTTAAGAATGATATACCTCCACTCCATCAGACATCTTCATGGTATGATGAATAATTAGCAATAGGGACAACTTGTATCTTTGTATTAGATTAAAATATATACAATGTCTGAGTCTAGCTCTGTCTTCAGGTAGAAGGGACATTGTTGGACTTTTGAAGTAATGGTTCCTTACAAGCCCTGAAGCATATGGCTTTACATAAAAGATGTGTCCCCTTTTTAGTCTGCTTCCTAAAATAGGCTTATGTAATCTCTTTCCTGTCTGTGTATCTCCCCCCAGTAACTTTTGAATGCCTGAATGAATGTGAAACTTGGTATGTTTTATCATGGCACCTGGGCCCATCCAAACAGTGTACTTCATGAATGCCTCCCATCAGTCTGTGTGTATGTGCATATGTATTTTGCTAGGGAATGGCTTGGTAAAAACATTACCCTGGCAATGAACAAAGGAAAGTAGGTGATTTGTTGTTCTTAGAACTTTCTTCCTTATAAGGAGTATGTTCTAGTGTATTCCATAGAATATATACATCTTATACTGTATATCTTTTACCTAGCAGTGAACTTTCAAAGAAAATTGTCCCATGATGATATCATACCAGATCACTCTCACAAACCTTCATAACCACATAATTTAATAGTAAATTAATACAGGAAGAATTGGAACCAGTGTGCTCTCTCATTAGGCAAAACAGAGATCAAATTCTTAGCACTGCAAGTACTGAATTTAAATAATTATATGATAAAATCACATGTGAAAATGTGCAAACCACACTCATTTTAGTTTCTCAACTTACTTATCTTCTTAATTCTGATATAACGTTCAGTGTTCATGTAAATTGATTTTTGCACATCGGTAGTGCATTTTCCCCACATGGTGCACTTTGATTTTAGCTGTCTACTTATGATGGATTATTTAAATGAGTATATGAAGATTAATTATGCCTAATTTAAATATTTTCTGACTTTTCTTGATATGATTGCTGAATTTTAATGGTGTCTTCATGTGTAAAAAATGGACTAATCAGGATAAAATTAAAAAAAAAATGTGTATATGTGTTCCTGATACACATCAGTTAAATGTGGTAACGGTATGTCTGTATTTATTTTTTTTAGGTTCGCAGCGTGGTGAATGATACCAGACAAAACATAGACTTTGCATCATTAGACCTTCATGTTGTTCTTCAAGAATTTTCATCAATTGCTTGAGGTTCCTTATATTAAACATGTACTCAGCAAGACTTAAGAAGTTTATATTTCCAATTAACTGTATTATATTTGAGAAATTATGATTGCTGAAGCTTGGAAATTCTTTGAAAAACTTAAAAAAAAAGCATATGTTGTAGAATAAATGTAAATAGAAAACCATTTTATACTTTGAGTTGTTTGTTGTGTACATTAGCATTATTGTACAGCATCACTAAATGCAAAAATACTGAACTTTGAGCCATATATATAATTCAATGGTTTCACATATTTTCACTTCAAAGACACCTTTATTAAAAATCTGAATAATCATACTCCATCTTGTTTCATTTCTCTCTTTACACTAATGTAACTAGGCCTATCCTTCGTCCCCCTTCTGAAAAGAAAGATGCTCTGAAGTATGAAACTAGAACAGACTGCAAAAAATTATTTTGAAACCATAATGTTGGAATACCACCCACATTTCATTCCGTTGTGTATATTTGCCATAAGAAATCACTGCCAGTGCTATCACCTGATGGGTGACTGGTTGTTTGTTACCATTATGTGTATAAATATTTTCTGTTATGGATGTCATACATGTACAAAGAAACTTAAATATATCTTGTCAAAGCTGGAAGGGTAAGTATATACAGCATCTCTCAACCCCTGATAATAGAGCAGGCTCTGAAATGGATACAGATTCTGTATTGACATGGCTCATTGTGCCTGAATGAGTGAGTGATCGAATAAAAAATTACAGATTTATAGTTAAGTATATTTATATACTGTTTATTCTGAAAATGCATTTTTATCCCACATTCCTTTCTTAAGGAAAGAAAATACGCTTATGATATCATCAAGCTGTCTGTGTATGAGTTCCTCCTTTCAACTTTTGAACTGATTTTCATAAAACTTGATATGGATATTATGCCACTTGAGGTCTCTCCCAACCTCCTACCTTTAATTCCCTGCAACTGATAAAGTAGGGCAGGGGCACTGGTGTCACTTATACAGGGTAATGATTTTTTTTAAAAATATTATAATTTTGAGGTGATGTTTTGTACACTGTACAACTAACCATATCACATGTGCATGAAATCTGTCTTTAGTTTTTGACTTCACAGAGATAACTGAAGAAGGACTAGAGTTTGACATGAATTATTTAATACATAGATCAGAAACACAAAAGACTGCAAGTGCTGATTACTAAATGTGTTATGAATTTTTGAGCTTGTGTACTACAAATTTAATGGAGATAAAATCATGATTTTTTTTAAATATTACATTATTAGTGACAAACATGATGGTGCAAGAATTACCGGGTTTTTGGACTTTGTCCGTTGTTCTAGAGACTAGAAAACCCAATGTTTCAGAAACTGGTTCTGTTACCATTCCCTTACAAAGAGCTAACCTCAATCACTGGACATCCCCTCACCTGAGGGTAGAAACAAATCCAGTTTCTTAAACGTTACGTTTTCTATGTAAGTTTTGAGGTTTTCACGGCGATGACAATGAAGAAAGTCGTCTTCTGGGTTTAGGCACCGTGTATTCTTCGTTTTGGCCGACCTTTCACATCCTATCACCACAGCTACTGCTCTCTGCATTCCAAGCCATTCAACTGCTCTGAAGATGGAGGCGCTACGTTCCTCCGAAACGTCGGCCAAAACGAAGCATACACGGTGCCTAAACCCAGAAGACGACTTTCTTCGTTACGTTTTCTAGTTTCTAGAATACCAGACAATGGATGAAGTCCAAAAACCTAGTAGTTCCGAGTATGATACACCATTGTCAGAACCCTTATAATATTGGTGCAGGTGCTTGTAAGTTGCATCTAAAGGCACATCCACATTACTCATGCTCGTGTGGCTCGCAAGTAATGTGGACGATATGACAGATCACGAGACAAGCAAATTTTTAATTTAAAAACTATACCCTATACACACTACGAGTAAATATACGGATCCTCACATGCCGAAGCCTGGCGAGCAACTGAAATAGTGTTGACGAAGATTTATGACCACGAGTAATGCGGACGCGCCTTAAGAAATGCAGTGTAGGATAAAACCAGAATTCAAGTAAAGAGTTCTTCCCCAAGAGATATTATTATAGTTATTGTTTCTGTCATCATCATGAAGGGTGATATGATCATCTATATTTGCAATTGCAAGCAATAAAACCAACTCATACTATACTCGGATTCCACCATATGACCAACTGCTCATGAGCACAATGCTAAATTGCATTTTATTATTAGATTATAAATTTGCATTATGTAAATATGACAACTCCAAATCAGTAGGATTAGTCTGTGCAATAAGAAGTAGCTTTATTAGTTCTATGTGGAACCCTTGTTTATTATATTATTAGTTGGAGGCATGCACAAAATTGAGAGATAAATGCACATGTCCATATACTCAACTGTAACACTTACTTTCCTTCAATGCTTTCATCTACATGGAAGGAATCCAAATTATAATTATGCAAATTACTGACCTATATCCATGAACAATGTCCTTCAGTATGATTTCCTACTGCCAAAGTTTTGCAGAAGCACCAAGTTTGCAAATTTTGCATATTCTCTTTCAGCCCAGAGAATTACCATTTTGATTGAGGTTTTTCATGTTTTTCCTCAGCTCACCAGGAAAATGCTGAGACAGGACCTTAAATTAGGCCATGTCTTTTCTTCCACTTCATTAAACATCCTATCATTTTATGCTATATAATCTGAGTAATTGAGGAAGAATAAATAAATAAAATCAAGTGTATATATTACCTGCTTCTGAACTGGATACCGTTACTTGCAACAGTTTAAATGCCACACTTAGTACTGAAAGTGTAACACAAGGATGGAAGTACTGGGATGCAGATTTCATCACATCACAAAAACAAATCACAGTTATTTAATGTTTATTTATTAATGCAAATCTTAATTTCCAGAATATTGTACAGAAACTGGAACCGAAATTATATGCAACTAGATGCAATAAACTTACTATAAAATTGGTGAGATTTGTTACTCCTGTAAGTATTTCCAATAAATGCAGTAACAATGAACAGCACTTCTTGGTGGTTTTACTTCCAACAAGGTTCAAACAGTTTCACTGACTGTTCTTAGTACCAAAAACATAAATATTACTTTTTGTGTTAAGGTTAGTGTTTGTGAATTCACATATATGGAAATGGGTTGTTCAGCCAAAAGAAAAGGTTACATGGGTCTGCCCATACCACGACCCACAGGAGGACCTTGAGGTCCATCACCACTTGATTTAGGATTCTTGATGGTCTCATCCACTGAAAGCACCAAGCATGCTGCTTCACATGCAGCTGTAAGAGCATTTATCTTCACAACAGCTGGCTCCCAAACACACATTTCGAAGTTGTCTGAGATGTCTTCCTTGTTTATGTCCACACCATACCAACAATGACCTAGGGGCCAAAAAAAAAAACTCATATTTACTTATAAAGCAATTAAATCAGGATTGGTACAGCTGACTGATTAGACACTAATCAGTTCTTAAAGAAACCAAGTATCCTTCATACAAAAGGGTCAAAATGCAGGACCTTGAACACAATCTCGTTACTCCAGTTAAGACTGGCAGCAAGTAAACAGAAAACGCATAGATTTCATGTGTAGAGGTACAATCTCAAGAAATTAAACAATGTAAAGAGCTGTATCATGTTGAAATCTCAAATAGGTTTGCAGCTTTGGAAAACTCAGATGCTGTGGTGGATGTTAACAGAGCTTGGGAAACTAAAAGAATATCAGAATTTCTGCCAAAGAGAGCCTAGGTTATTATGAAGTGAAGACGCATAAGCCATGCTTCGACAAAGAATCCTCAATGTTATTAGATAAAAAAAAAAAGTCTCACTGCAGTGGTTACAGCGATAGTACATATTATGATAGTCCATCTCTGGACTGTGGCACTGGCCACACCAATTTGCTCCCAGCTCGCTGACCGTACACACTTGCTAACCCCAACTGTAAGACCCTCCACTCCCTATCACCGACTCTCTCTTTCTTAAAAGTCCTACAGTGGCAATAAAATAAAACAAAAAATGAGAGAGCTGTCTATCATAAACCCTTTTAGGTCACCAAAGCACACTAGCAGAAAATCAAGACCCCTCATTGATTTATAACTAGGAGCGAACTGGCCACGCCAAAGACAATAGTGACACCCTCAGCCTAAGGATGAAAAAGTTTGTTTATGACCACACAGTCCAGGGATAGCATCTTGCTAGAAGAGCGGCTCCCAGGCCAAAAAAAATGCATAAACGGGTCATAGCCCAATTAAATAATTTCCACCAAGGTACGTATGGTTACAATAATCTTACTGGATTACCTTCTGCATGCTTCTGACGCAACTTGTTTAAAATATTTGTTGCATCGAAGCCAGCATTGTCACACAGTTGCCTAGGAATTATTTCAAGAGCCTTGGCAATAGCTCCTATTACTAGTTGCTCCTTTCCAGCAATGGTACGAGAATAATCACGAAGTAACTTGCTCAGTTCCATCTCAATGGCACCTCCACCTATATAACACAAATTCTATGTAATTTCAAGTATACTGTAACAGATTTGATCAACATGTTGAGCAATGGCTCAGTAAACAAACCACAACAACAAAAGGGAAACTATTTTCTTTGCGGTCCGTGCCAAGCAGAAACATGCTGCCAGGCAACACTGCAGTAAACATGCATCCATAACAATGGGAGACAGATCTTCAATCAGATCACGTTTCTAACCTTACCAGCAATACCATCAAGAGCTTTCTGTACACAAAAGAATTAATGTCATACAGATTTCTTTTGGTCTTGTAGTTTAAATATTTTGAAGCATGGAGCTGGCATTTTAACATCCAGTACTTTCAAAGGCTGTTTCACATTTAATTCTGTCTTGCATTGTAACAAACCTGAAGGGCACATAGAATCCATGATGAAAAGGGGCCCCTTCCAAAACCATCAGTGTCAGCCTGCCATTGGGCAGAGAAAAAGACAAACACCTGAATATTCAAGTCTATGCCAGCATGGGGGTGTCCACCATGACCTGATCTCAAGTAATACTTGATAAAAGTTACCCTACTAGAATATCACTGAAAATTCCTAACTTAACAGTAAGTCCTTCACCATCGACTAGCTTTAACTTTATGCCCCTACCATGGGAATAACAACCCAAGACTCCCAACTCTACACCTCGCAGAAATGTATACATATTTATATACATACATAGGTCCACATGGCTTTGGGGACTTTTGGTTGATTGCATCACAGCTCCAAGTCAGAGGTAACATGTCAGAATGGCACAACCAAATCAATGATCATACAACTGCTAAAATATCTATGCCATCTGGGCTCCAGAGACGGGGCACTACATGTATGTACATGTACATGACTCATGGTCTGGGCTCTGCATATGGACTTGCACAAAATGGAAGTGAGGAGGGGTTCCCCATAGGGACACACAAGTTGAAAGCTGCACCAAAATCATGGGAAAGTACCACAGAGATAGGACAGATCCCTGTTGGTGAGGCAGGTGTTAACAGCACAAGGGGACCTTAGGCATTACATAATAAGTAAACCTTGAAAAGGAAAAAAACTGAAGATGTTGCAGTAAACATGAACCAACATGGCAAAACCATCATGAAGATGAAACAACGAAATTGAGAAGGCTATGGTAGGCATTTAACATGCAAAGAGGGGGCCAGTGAGGAAGAAAGATATGAATACAGAATGGTAGATGTCATGAAAGAATGACAGAAGGCAAAGATGAGAGAAAGGAACATTTGACACCCCCTTGCATCACCCAGTCAGGACAAGGACAACCTACCTCAATGGGGGTTTCCTCTAGGATAAAGCATTTTGTACTGAGCATAAAAAAGAAGACAAGTTTACTTCTGAAACCAAAGAAAGGTGCTTGCATAAGATGATTAAGTGCTGAATTTGGTGTAGGTATATTTACCATATATGGCCTGGAATCAAAAATCTGGTTCAGTTCATGTGTCTTGCTTCCTGGATAAGCGTTTTTGTACACCAAAAACATACATATAAAGCTTTCACAAAAGCATAAATATACCTGCTACAACAGCATCATTCTTTATGGTCCGCCGTACAATCATTATAGCATCATGCAATGAACGTTCAGTCTCTTCCATGAACTGTTCCGCCCCACCTCGGAGAACTATGGTGCATGTCTTGGCATTTGGACAGCCAGTGAAAATGTTGTACCTGTAAATGATTTGTCTCTTACAGACTTCCACCACCCCCTACACTGTCATAAACTGCATAAGTTAATTTTGATATTTGTTTGGTAGTATTAAATAAAATATATGGTAGGGTTATGAACTGGAAGGGATATGGAAAGAAGTGGTCATAACCTATCTCACAAACCATCCTAGAATTCACCTGGCATGCAGAAAAACATGAGTTACGACAACCTGTCTTTTGACTGGATTCGAGCTGAATACATACACTTCGTAGATTCTTACCATGTAACTGACAAGTCTTTACAGTAATTAAGATTCATGTTCAGTATTAAACAGGCTTTAACCTTTACACTGCTGAGCCTGTATTACTATGCAAATGGCTCTGCACAGCATCCTTGCTGCTCCCATATTCTTAGGGGTGCAATTTTTATAAACACACATCATCCAAATTAACTTTCTAAATGCATTCAAATTTGCCAGGCACACACTTCCATCTATCATAAACATAATGAACTACAAGGCAAACCTCTTGCTGTGTCTATATACCACCTATAAAAGAATTCAGAAACTACTGCATTTAGCAGCAGGAATACCCTACTCCCTATCACCTGACCTTGGTCATCTGTGGGATTAGTAACCAATACCCTCTTCTTCATGTAATGTAACATTTAGTATGCATGTACTATTCAGATTTCTACTTGATTTCCCTTTATTTTCTTATGAGCATTACAAAATCAATTCAATTCATGGGGTTATACCAGGCTTTATTTACTCAGCTGTGAAAGGATTAAGAGTAACTCTCTGTAACCCTATTATCAATTAAGATGTTCTCACATAATACAGTGTGCGCCAAAATATACAGTACTGAAATGAAAAGATGTCCTGCTGATACCACTGTCTATTCATGTGAAGGCCCCTTGCACAACAGAACCTTCTCAAATCCTGAAGAAATGGTCCAATCACCATGTCTCTGTAGCGTTCTTGGGCGACGGTAAGAGCATTGCCTTCCTCATCCTTAATGAAATAGGGGCCTAATATATTGTGTGTTGAGACGGCACACATCATCACATGTGTACTATGTAGCAGTTTCTGGACAATAACATCTGGCTGCTCAAAACCAAGGAAGCAAGTTGTCTGGTGACCACTTCCATATGAGCAGAAATAATACTCAACTATGAATACTTTTTTTTTCCGTTGAGAGACCCATTTCCAACAACTGCACAACACAACTTCCTTTTCACTACTGGGAACACGTGCAGCGAGAGCTATGTCCCGTCGACAAACACACATGCGCTGTGTAAGTTTCAGTACTGCTTATTTTGGCGCATACTGTACCTGTGATGCCAATGCCATGTATATTTTGATAATTCTCCCAGTTAAAACAGTATTCATGCTTTGTCCTATAAAAGTTACATTAATAACTGAGTTCACTAATCCAATATCATTCATTTACAGAATCAGTTCTCTTATCACACTTGTAGAATGTTAATATGACTAATAATAAATACCTTTCACCTCCAATCTGTCTCTCTTCAAAATAATCACAGCAGCCAATAACAGAATCATTGATATCATGGGCAGTAGACATGACAGAACCACCACAGGCTTTCATGGTGCGCTTCAAATCTTCATCTGGCACGCGGCCAGCACAGAACATGTCCCTATAAAAAAGAAGCAAATTTTGGTACCACATACCAATTCAGAGTTGATCAATCTCATACATCAAAACCTGCTGAATAAGTTACTATGTATTAAGTAAGTGCAATGGAGACTTATAACCAACACAGGAATCAACACACACACCACCAATACCAGATAAAGCCTCCACTGCACAAAATCTTGAGTCAGTTCAATCCCCTTCATGTTGACACAACACATTTTCCTGAAATCAAAACCTATGTTTTTGGCTCCTGTTTTATCTCCTTCCATAACATCATTTTTTGTTTGCTCTTACAGTACAAAAGCTTATTATAACCAGCAGTACATGATTGCTCTGCAGTAATTATTTTAAACTTCTCTGGTACACATGTACATAATATATTTTCAATATCAATTCTATACAACATCAGGTTTGTCAGTGACAAGACATACATTTTTGCAAATGGAAATTTCAAATGCAATTCTATAAATAATTTCGACCTTAGAGCATGAGTACCCTAAACGCACAACAGGAAGCAGTCACACAAAGTAAATCTTTATATCCACATACCTGTCAGCAAAGTACTGAGTTGCAACATCGCCAATAGGGAGCTTGGAAAGAACTACCTGTACCCCACTCTTGTGGATCATATCAAGTTTTTCATACAAGATCTTCCATTCTGCATCCACAATCTTCTGATATTCTTTCACATTCTCAACTCGTATTTCAGCATTTTCCCTTTCAGCTTTCAGTTCCAGCTCAATGTTTAAAAGAGCAATTTTGGGATGGTTGTATTTCTTGGGTTGCATCTCAAATCCGGCATATGAAAAGGTTTTTTTAAAAGCCACACCTGCTACTAGTAACGAGTCCTACAAAAGTAAGAACACACACAAGTGTAGTTAAACCCATCTATTAAATTTCTGAAGGAATGACTTTTCTGACAATAAATCTACATTTTCACTATATGGGAGTTATAACAAATTACATCAAGAAACTCTTCACATATTTATTACAATTATTACATATTACTACTTAACAATATATTTTTATAAGTAGTTCAAGAAAATGAAGAAAGCAGTCTTCTGGGATGTGGCACCGTGTAGATATTGTGTTAACCGTTTCGGAGGAACGTATCACGTCCATCTTCAGGGTAGAAGAAAAAAAGAAGAAAATCAGCATGCGAAGAACCAGCGTGAGCAGGTACAAATAGACTAATGTCAGGAATAAACCCAGCTGTATAAGAGCAGGAAGAGAAGGGAGGAGGGCTATATGGGAAATCAGTAGAGGAGAGGGGAAGGGTCTGGGGAGGTGGGCCAGCAGGTATAGAATATTGTGGTGGAGGAGAGAAAGGCAAGGTTGATGGGAGGGCATTAACCCTTAAGCTTTGGGGTTGCTATGCAAGTCAGGCATGGACTTGCGTGGCCTTGTGGATCTGGTGTCATGTCCCGGGGGCTTCTTGAGGGAACAGATGAGAAGCTTCCATGACTTGCTGAGACAAAACCCCACCTCTCTGTTCATATTATCGGGATGGAGTGCAAATCTTACATAGTTCAAGAAAATGTTTCTACTCAGATATATCTGTAAAATAATTAAATGAAATAAACACTGGAAGAACCTTCAGCTGAGAATTAAGGCAGCCATGATGACACAAGCAGCAGGGCTTCAGTGCACATTCAATGCATGATATAATTCGCAAAAGATTATGGTTGTATAGTAACAATTTCCAGCAGAAAGGAAACATGAATATTGATTGTTTCAACAGTCATAATACACTCCGGTACAAGTTTTGGAATGTAAAATATTTCTTCACTAAATTCAAGTTATTCACTAAACTGAGTTCACTATATGTGGTACACTGTTCATTGGCCTCTGGCTGGGACCAGAAGAGATATGCATTAAATCAAACATATAAAAACATGAGTTTCTTTTTTGGCATAACTACATCATGACATTGCTCACATAACTCTGACTTTGACAATGCATGCAGAGCAGTTACAATATGCTTTCTTACCCATCGATTCCTGCCACATCCTCACATCCTATTATTTCTCTACATTCAGTTTTCATACAATCCTGTTTTTGTCTACATCTCCTAAACCTACTCTTCCCCTTTAAGTTTTGTGCCTGATTTCTGTATTTTTCATGTTTATCATGCAAAATACAAATCATTTCCATTTCATCCTCCTTTATATAATCACCCTAACATTAGTATCAGATTTAAAACAAAGTATGAACAAAGCAAACAGAATTACAAAACAAAACAAAAAATACTGACAAAATGAAGTTAACACACCAAAGCTCTTAGTATGACGAAATACAGTGACTACATAATTAAGGCTTTCACACCGATTAATTGGAGATGTTAGTTCTGTTTCTGGGTGATTAAACATATGGGTGTGGGAAGTGTTGCCAACACTTCAGAGCCAAAGTGTGTAGTAGCACTGATCTCTCCAAGGCCTAATTTATAATTTGATATGATTAAGTAATCAATATTTATATCTGTTTACTTGTTTATTCAAAATGTGGTTACATCTGGAATCATTTAAGACAATTATGTGACAATCAAATGTCATATCACTTTATTTCATAACGGTAATACAGAGTTTTAACAGAAACTAATTTTAAATTTATTGATGGTGATTTAATTAGATTTTTGGTGCTTTAAACAGGAAGTTAATTTTGGCTTGGAGCAGGGAAGGAACATTATCCACAGGGCTAAATGTCATGTAAACTGTTAAAACAGCAAAACCATAATACCAATAGAATAGAACCATAATACAAGGTTCATGGTGAGGCCCATAATTCAAATTCCACCAACAGGGCGTTAGCACACCATTTCCGCAACAATGCAAATTTTCAACTTCATACAAATCATCAATCCTGTACTAAATATGTCATGGAGGGGAAGTGTGTAAGGTGAATGGCGATGGTAACGTGCACAAGTTCCTGTTTCCCACAAAACATAAATGTGTATAGACACAGAAACTCACCTATCCTGTATACTCTGACTGGAAGATAGCAACAGCATGTACATATGAAATTTTCGCAGCATCACCCAAATCCACATAATCTAACCACCCAAGAACAGAACTGACATTAAATATGACAAAGAAATGTTTCTGAAAAAAAAATTATGTTTTTGTATATTTCATGCATTCAGCAATTCTTTAACAACACTGTTAACAAGTATGTTTTCTTGCAAACTAAGCTCTGGACAATCTCACCAGTCATTTTCAACAGTGATGAATGCAGGAGTGAGAAAAAAAGAAAGAAAAAGGAAAGACAGTAAAGCAACACAACTTGGTAATATATCAATGGACTGACCTCTAATGCTCCACCAGGAACCTTCTTCACACCGATCATACTGAGGGGAAGGAGGTCATCCAACAACAACACTGCATCCACAACCATCTTTGAGAAGAATCCCTTCTGCTGACTAATAAGTTTTGAACTTAGAGCTGTAGCAGCACATTTCTCAAGCAGCTGTCGATGTTCTTCAGCATTTTTTTTTTCAATCTGTCCAACACAGAGCCACAGAACATCAAGCAACTGGTCAGCAATTTTCAAGAGTTCTTTCAATGGTTTTTGAAGTTATATAAAATAAAAAATATACTTTATGGGGCCACTTCCTTGATGGTTAACACAAAAGGTCAAAGTGTGCCATGAACTCTCTCAATCATACATGGTAATGGAAGGCAGAAGTAGTGCAAATAATAAAAATTCACATGTTGCTAGAAGATTAATAAAAAGTAAATATCTTAACATGACACATGTAATGGACATTTTCCACTGTCTCATTCTGGCTAAATAAACACAGTCTGGGACCTGATTTTGCTTCCATCATCAGGTAAGACTATGACACCTGCTCTGCTCAGACAACTAGACTTGGCTAATATCCCTGACATCAGAAATTTCTTATAAAACTAGGAGCCAGAATAAAAACCAAAATGCTTCACACAAGGAATCTGCTTATTTTTACTTTCAAAAGAAACTGAAACAGCCTCTAACAGAAATGAGTACCAGGAATTAATTAAATAATTTTTCTGGGGAGTAAAGCATGGCCAGTGCGTAAGGCTGACAACCTTACCGCCATTTTGAGCCGACGGTCTAGATAATGTGGGACCCTCAACATCTCACAACCCTATGGGCCTTCACGGTCAGTTACAGGGATAGCTTTACTTAATCATAAAACAGTAATGGGCAAAAATATCTCCTAAGCCTACAAGGACTAATTCATAAAAATGTGGAAAACTAGGAACAAAACCAGGCAAGAGCAGCACAAACCTTTACTGCTAAGCTGTTGATCTTCTCAGTTGTGAGCTGCATTGCTTTGCGAAAAGCTCTAATGATAATGCGCGGATGAACACCCTCTTCAACAAAAGATTTTATCTGCTTCAAGAATTCACCAGCTAAGAGTACCACACTAGTTGTACCATCACCCACCTAGAAAAGCAATTATGCCATAAAATCATTGTCAATCTATCAGAAGCTGAACACTTTAAATTACAAAATGTGTGGATAAGTTGAAATGACTCATTTCTCTCACCAGCAAGCCATCAGTCTATAATCCAACTTTTTGTTCCCAATCATGTGCTCATCTAAGCTACACTTTTGCCTAGACAAGCACAATGGCAGGAGGAAGGTGACTGTTTCCAAGCTTCTCTCAGAACTAATAAATATGGACAATAATAAGTTTACAAAACAATGACACACACCCAAATTTGGCTCATCATAGTTCACTCTATCCTGAAGTATTCAAGTATGGAGAAAGTTGAAGAAGCTCTTAATACAAGAAAAAATAAAATCTGTAATATCCCTTCAAGATATTATGAGCATGCATACTCTCATCTGCCAGTCACACGTATGGATAAAAAAGTGTGATCAGCCTGTGAATACAATTAAAGTAGAATGCTCTTTTAAAGAAAAACACATGCTTGTCCTCAAATGTAACAAAGACTGCAGGCACACACATTTGGTACTCTTCAAATATGTTGATAAAACTAAAGTACGACCCCACAACATATTAACAGAAATTACAGTAAAAACTTAACATATTTATTTCCCATATTTTATTTAAAAAATGGCACAAGTGTGATGTGTACAGCGCTACAAAATATCTCAACTGACAACCATAATAAGATATGTGTCCATAATCATTTCCTCTAAGGGCCTGCTATTCAAAGGATGAACAATTTATGGAAATATACCAGAATTAATGTCACACATACCAAATATTCAGTACTTAAACATAGCATCTTCAGCCCACTCACTAATAAGTCACTACTGATGAAAATAAAATTACAGTACAAGAATCAGCTGCTAAGAATCCATTTATACCGAGTTAGTTGCCATTTAATTTACTACACTCAATTAAACTAACCTCAATTTATGGAACAATTTATGGAAATATACCAGAATTAATGTCACACATACCAAATATTCAGTACTTAAACATAGCATCTTCAGCCCACTCACTAATAAGTCACTACTGATGAAAATAAAATTACAGTACAAGAATCAGCTGCTAAGAATCCATTTATACCGAGTTAGTTGCCATTTAATTTACTACACTCAATTAAACTAACCTCAGCATCTTGAGATTTGGCAATATCAACCAGTGTCTTTGCTGCTGGATGAACAACGTCCAAGAGCTTCATAATGGTTGCCCCATCATTAGAAATAGTGGACTTCCCATGGTTATCCACAATAAGTTTATCCATACCCCGAGGTCCCAGGGTGGTTCGAACAGCATCCACAACTGCTTGGCAGGCATTGATGTTTGATATCAACTGAGGTTTACCCTGAGAATTCTCCGTACCTTCTTTCAACAGGATGATCTGTGGTTGCTACAAAAATTGTATCTTCATTTACAAAACATTCCGCATATAACTTCAATTAATGGTAGAACTATACCTAGCAACTAATTACAACATAACCCAACATTTTGAACTGAATAACAAACACTGATTCAAAGTACTCGTTACAGTTGTACTGCCAGATTTATCATACAGTATATATTTGTTCGGAATTCTGTTACATCAGGGCGTAAATCTGTTATCATTTATAAATTATTTGATAATACTGGTTTATTCATACAACGTTGCCTTGACAATTTATCCTGTAGCACCCATCTTTTATATTATGGTTTGAATGAATGTTCTGAGCCTAATAATGATAAAATACTGGTAACCGTAAGCCAATATAAATTCACTGACTTTGCTGGATGTTCGTTAAATAGTTTCATATAAATTACAAACCATGATGGTTCCAGGATCTAACCCCAAATTACAGATTACGCTTTCTATTATCCTGTGCCTTCTGTTCGTTCTGTTCTTTCTCCATAAAAAAAATCGGGGGGATTACTGTCAAAGGGGAAGGGGGAACAAAGGCTCTCCTGCCATCTCTACGTAGACGGACCAAACTAGATAGTCAGTCAGAACCAATCACAATTCAACTATTACAATATATCGAATTGCATTTCTGTGACCCAATCCCAGTCAGATCCCAGTACACCTTTGGAATAGATGGCGGTTAGTGGCGTTGGGCCGTTGGTTCTTGTACTTATTCGTCGAAAAGTTAAGTTTATCAGTTTGCGGTTGATTAGTAAGTATGGAATTTGATTTGATGTAGTGAATCAAGAGCTGACATTTACTCTTTAAGTTACATCGTCATGTTATTTCTGTTTATGAATTAAGTTAGAAATGTACGTATATGAAGTGAAAAGTTCTTGTTAAGATATTTCTGTAGGTTATGCAGATGTTATGTTTCGATGTAGAATAAAGAAGGTCTGTAGAATCTCTAAACTCACCGTGTACTGTGATTGTGTTATAATATTTGTATTGTTTCTTGCAGGATAAGTGGAAAATAATACATTTTGCCCTGCCCTAGAATGCTCGTCATCCAGTAGGCAGACAGGTTTGAAAGTTTTCAACTTTCCCAGGGATTCAGCGCGGTAAGTCTTGTTTTAATGCATGAAGTAATGGCTTTATTATGTGTTGCTTAATCTAACGAAGAAATTAAGTTTAGCTAGTGTCTGTATTAAATGTATTAAACATTACTCCTCAACGTAGCACCAGCACCATGTGTGTAATACTTATAGATGAATTATTTCAAGGCTTTGAGACAGTATGTAATAGTCTTACAGGGCTATGGTATGGGCAGGAAGAGTTGGGATATCCTGCACTATACATTTTTGTGCGGTAGAAAGTGATTTCACTACAGCTGAAGGAAGAGCTTCTGGGGTCTGCTATCAACCATGTAAACCACGGTTATTTCTATCCCCCCCCCCCCGAAAACTCATCGTTAATGGTGGGCAACATGGTCGTGGTGAAGTCATGTGGCATTACTCCTGCCATCTCTACGTAGACATACCATAACTAAATGAGAAATGGTCACCAGCACCGGCAGCATGATCAATAAAATAGAATGCTACCGTACCATCGTATGCGTCCACCCCTTCGGAACCACTAGTGCACATGAATAGAAATAAATAATTTTGCAACCACATCTCGTGTGCTGCTGAGGTTCTTACTCTGTTCTTTTTTTTTTTTCTTTTTCTGAACTGGTTTCAATATCACTTCCCTCATATTCTTTAAAGGATATGAGTGACATGATATTGAACCCAGTTCCAAAATAAGAAAAAAAAAAAAACGGAGAAAGAACCTCTGCAGCACAGGGGGTCAGGGTTGCAAAATCAGAAAGTTTCTCACCAGTGCCTGTAAAGTCATAACATTTCATTCATATCAATCCAACATCTCCTTAACCAAATGCATTGGACATTGTGAACTATAACATACATAGAATACTTGTGTTTAGGATACCTGAAGGTGGGGTACTTGAAAGAAAATTCTGTTTCCTTCAGACATACTTCTATTTAACCTCACACCTTTGGTAACTACTCACACTTGAAAGCCACACAAAACATAATTTTTTGGTTACATTAAAGCATTATAAATCATATATAGCAAGCAGTAATACTGACTTTTCCATTTATTATTAATTTCATTAGAATGACGTTCAGTACTGGGTAGGATTATATGGCAAAATTACAACATATCTTACAGAATTACAATGAATACCGAAATCTGTGTGGGAAAGAGTAACATACCTTACAGAATACTGGAAATCTGATATTCTTTCATTTCAGTAATGCAGAGGATTATATGGCAAAATTAATAACATATCTTACAGAATACTGGAAATCTGATATTCATCTTCCACTTCAGTACTGGACAAGAATAGATTACAAATATAACATCTTACAGAATTTGATTTGTTTCATCCTGGTCCGTCACACTAACAGTATTATAAAAGGTTAATTATTTCTGTCCAGTGTGACTGGACATCAGTCACACTGGATGGAATTCATTAACCTTTTATAATATCTTACAGAATATTGGAAATTCGATATTCATCTTCCATTGCAGCACTGGACAGGATTATTTGGCAAAATTAATAACATATCTTAAGGAAATGCAGTGATTATTGGAAATCTTATATTCATGTTCACCAGTTCAGTACTGGACAGAGTAATACGGAGAAAAATAAGAAGGAATACACCCATTATAATATAACAAAAATAATAAAACAAGTAAATTATGATGAGGAATACACCCACAATAATAATAAAACAGAATAATAACAAAAATATTAAAATAGTTAAATAAATTATTAGAAGGAATGCACCCATAATAATAAAGCAGAATATACCAAAAACAAAATAGGGAAATAAATTACACAAAAAGTCCTACCCACACTGAATCCTGATATTGATCCTGCTGAAGCGGATAACCAGTGCTCTATACTGGGGACTGTTATCGCTTAGTGGGCAACACAGTGCTTTCCAGGGTCAACAGGCATTCCACCATTTAAACTCTCAAAGAGTTTGTCAACCTCCCCAATAAACACAGCTGTTGTCAGGTATTCACTGCAGCACCCTCCAGAATGAACAAAAGAAAAATGTGAAATTAGTGTGCTTCCTTACATGGTGGATTACCATAATTCTTCACATTGGGAAATAACACATATTACATGACAACACAATGCCTCTGTAAAAATTTGTACGCTAGTTACTTTATTCCTCATAGTAAAGTCTTTACCACCTCATTCTCTCAAGTCATACAAGGGTTGGATAAAAAGTAGTGGCATGTAACATGAAAGATGTGCGTCAGGTGGCACTAGTGCCGTCTGTAGCTGATAGCAGAGGTTCAGTTGAAGTAGTGTAGTGAGTGGCTCTGGTTGTGTTTCATTGAGTTGCGTTGTGCATCGTCTTGACCTGCAGGAGCCCAGTTCAGACACCCTAACAATATGTTTACAAAACAAGAACAATGCTCCTGGATAAAAATTGAAGTTGCACGAGGTCGTAGTGCACAAAACTGTTATCAAGAACAGTGAGAAGCATGTGGTGATGCTGCTTTGCCATTGAGGACAGCCGTTGTTCAGGACGACCCCGTGTTGATAAACACCCAATTCAGCTTCTTGCTTCTTTGCCGGATGTCGATCATTGATGGGCTGCGCGGGAGTTAGCTGCTAAGGTAGGTGTATGTCACAAAACCATGCTCCACATTCTGCATGATATTCTTGGATACTGCAAAATTGCAGCACGTTGGGTACCCCATACAATGTCCAAGGTTCAACAATGCCAACGTTATGCAATTGCACAGGACTTGTTGGACCGGTACCAGAGGGAAGGTGGTGACTCCCTTGGAAGGATCATCACTCTGGACGAAACTTGGGCTCACTCATATGAACCACACTTGAAGCAACACTCAAATGACTGGAAACATCCTGTCTCTCCTAGTCTAAAGAAAGTGCACCCTGCACAGGGTAATGTGAATGCGATGTTCATTGTGGCATTTAACAGTGATGGAGTGATACTGCACCACACTTTGCCACAATGACAGACAGTAAACGCTTCCTAATACTGCAATTTCCAGCGTAATCATCTTCATCCAGCACTCAGGAGAAAGCGAGGACACTTGTTGGCAACAAACCCCATCATCCTTAATGACAATGCAAGGGCTCATACTGCTGACACTGTCAAGGATCTCCTTTGCCGCTGGCGATGGGAGATACCGCAACATCTGCCATACTCACCCGATATGAGTCTGTGCAACTATGATCTCTTTGCCAGAAAGAAAGAACCACTGCGAGGGACACATTACAACATGAGAGGAGATTATTCTTGCTGTAGGGCAGTCACTGCTGGACAGCAACAGATCGGACATGCTGATGGTGTACGACGCCTTCCAAAAATGTTTTCGGAAGGTGGTACACATGGGGAGCGATTATATTGAAGGAATGTAAGTGTGTTTACCTCAGGTAATATAGTCATTTCAGAACTATGGAGGTGTTGCCACTACTTTTTGTCTGACCTATGTGTTATTGAATGCATGTTCTGCTTTTCAAACATTTTTTAATAATCCATGACCTGTATATTGATATACAGTTTCAGTAGTAATAAATGATGACAATGACATTTGTTTGATTACAACTGGGTTCTGGGGACAACTTTGAAAGCTAGCCCTCATTATTAACAATTGCATACATAAAAGAAGCATATAGTGCTTACCTGAAATGGTGTGTAATGAAGGATCAAGAGGTTGTGGGAGTGATTGTGCTGCAGAATCTGAGCTACATGGAACTGCAAATCTGTTCAGCTGTAGTGAAATCACTTTCTACTGCACAAAAATGTATAGTGCAGGATATCCCAACTCTTCCTGCCCATACCATAGCCCTGTAAAAGTATTACATATTGTTCCAAAACCTTGAAATAATTCATCTATAAGTATTACACACATGGTGCTGGTGCTACGTTGAGGGTTAACGTTTAGTACATTTAGTACAGACACTAGCTGAACTTAATTTCTTCGTTGGATTATGCAACAATAATAAAGCCATTACATCATGCATTAAAACAGACTTAACATGCTGAATCGTTGGGAAAGTTGAAGAGTTTCAAACCTGTCTGCCTACTGGATAACGAGCACCCTGGGGCAGCACATTTCTTTCTTCCCATTTATCCTGCAACAAACAATACAGATATTATAACACAATCACAGTACACGGTGAGTTTTGAGATTCTACAAACATTCTTTAAGCTACATCGAAAGATGCATAACTTACAGAAATATCTTAACAGGAATTTTTCACTTCATATATATTTCTAACTTGGGGCACGCGGTAGCGTAGTTGGTTGAGGGGCTATGCTACAAGCCAGAAGGTCGCGGGTCCTGAGATTTTTCAATTGATCTAATCCTGCAAGCCACAGTATGACCCTGGAGTTGACTCAGCCTCTAACAGAAATGAGTACCACCCATCTTCCTGGGGGTAAAGGGCAGCCGGAGCATAAAATTGACAACCTCATTGCCATCTGTGAGCCAGTTGTCTAAAATATATGGGCCAGATCACTGAAGGTCCCAATGCAAGGGTCGGATTTTATGGACCACCCCTTACACATACACATATTACTGCTACTACTACTACTATTACTACTACTAGAAACTGTGTGAGCCTCAATGTCTCACAACACTATAGGCCTCCACAGCCTGTTACAGGGATAACATTGCCTTTTTGCCAAGTATACTGGAATCAGTGAAATGATGCTCATATTTAACTCTGCAGCTAATGTATACCGAATTCACTTCGTATGTGTTTTGTGTAACCGTATAAGCTAATTGTGATAAATATGATATATAAGAAAAGGAGAATGGAGGGAAATACCATTCCCTATAAATAGGTTTTTAGATATCCCTTTTACATTTCTTTAGATATGAATAGTGCAGTCAGTATAGCGACTGGCTACAGGCTGGACATCGAGGAGTTGGAGTTCAAGTTTCTGTGGGGGCAAGTATTTTCATTTCTCCATGTCGTCCAGAATGACTTTTGGGCCTACCCAGCCTCCTATCGAATGGGTACCGAGGATTCTTTTTCCAGGGGTAAAGCGACTGAAGCGTGAAGCTGACCACTCACTTACAACTGCTGCAGAGGTCAAGAAAATGTGGGTCTCTACATCCATTCCCCCACAAATGCATAGTACGTATTTAGTAGAGCACATGAACAAGTTTATCTTTTTTTAATAATTCATCCATGTTAGTAATTTTCTTGTAATGAAATTATTTCAATTAGACTAGAGAGGTGAAGTGAGAGAAATTTAATATTAGTATAGCTTGCTAGATCCTGGAGGCTGGAGAAGACCACAAGGGGCGAGGGATCCATGTGATTGTACTGAACTAGGCGAGTGGGAGTGTGATGGCCCAGCGTAAGTTCGATACGTACTCACCACACGAAGACGAAGCCATGGCACTCTTTCTGAACATGGTTTCTGATGGCAGAGTTGTCATATTCGCCATAAAGTTATGCTGTAACAGTTCTGAGACAAATGAAGGTCAACTTCTGAGGATCTCCAGTATTGCTTCATTAAACTAACTCCATGAAGCTGAGCCCTTCTTGATGAGCCGCCAATTCTGCAGCTACTCAAGAATTTCCCTATATTTTATGCCACGCTAAGGTTCATTACCATGTTCACAAGAGCCCTCCACTGGTCTCTATCCTGAGCCAGACCCATCCAATCCATACAATCCCATTCTATCTCTCTAATATCCCTTTTAATATTGCCCACCTACCTACGCCTTGGTCTTCCAAGTGGTCTCTCTCCTTCCGGCTTTTCCACCAATATCCTATATACATTCCTTGTTTCCCCCATTCGTGCTACATGCCCTACTCACCACATTCTCCTTGACTTGATCGTTCTAATGATACTTGGTGAAGAGTACAAGTTATGAAGCTCATTATGCAGTGTTCCTCATATAAATTTAGTTTGAATTTATAATTTGTGCTAAACAGGCCTACATTTTCACTAAGTCTTATTGTTTTGGAAATATTTAAATTAAAGAATACAAATGCATCAAAATTATTACCTGTGTACCAATCTTGTCATTCTTGATTAAGATATTAGCTTATTTAATTCATCCCATCATGTCTACAGTTAATCAGACCATTTTCACCTCAGTTGGTCCCTCATAGACCTGCGTATGTTGTGTTATGCTAAGAGATAACATATTTCTAAATTACATAACTTAAGAACATATTAGACAGCACGTATGTTGTACTGTATTGTACAGTTATTACTGTAACATTAATATTTCTGACATCTGAAATTTCTGGAGCTTGACAGATATGACATGCTCAAACAATTTTAAATCCCTAAATTCATATTAAGAGGTTCAGAAATATAGTCCTCTGAATGTAAGCTGTCTCAGTGTCGTTTCTTCTGGATTTCTGTGGCAGTAACTATGGCTGACTTACAGAATATAGGAACATTCCAGATGAAGCAGCCAATTAGAGACCTCCTGAAGAGACTGGGTTCAAAGCGAGCCCAGATAATTGGATGGAGATACATGTGGGCCATGTTAACACAGAAAGGTGCCAAGATGTTTGGAGAGTCCTACAGCAAGAGTACTGAGTTCAACACCTGGGGAGCTCCTGTAGTGCTTCGTACAGAAATACCGCTCATGCCCATTGAAGGTAGAACCATGTTCAGGTGTTCAGCAAAAAGTAAGAAAGATAGGTTTACCTGGAGGTCAGGCCTGCCTATCTGTGCTTAAAACTAATTACCACTAGTATGTACTGTTACCTATCACTGCTCCTTAAGTTCTACTACTTACTACTTGGTACTATTGTATGCTGTTACTATGAAGACCCATATTATTGGTTAATTTTTTGTGATCTGTATGGATAGTTGATAAGACATGCAAATGTAAACATATTTCATTACAGAAAGTGGGTGTGATTGGGCAGACAGAAGAGAATTTTTTAATCATATTGAGGGTTATGGCAGTGTCTGCAGCTCCATGGATCCTGCGCCATTGTTGTTTAACCCTGAACCAGTGAGTAGCAACAAAATATACAGGGTGTCCCAGGAGGAATGTGCCAGACTTCGGGAGGCTGTTCCTTATGTTAAAGTATGCCGATATAAACAAAACACCTATGTCCAAAGTTGAACTGTTACGGAGATAATGGCCAGAGAAGTGTGAAACTTTGATAGGTGTTACACACTTGTTGATTACCAAATACATATTAAAACTGGCAGGAATGTGTGGTTTCTGCAATGTTAATAATGTACGTAACATCAAACTAACTTGTGAGTGACATGAAGCCATAAAATTGAACTACAAAAAACTCGCACGCCTTGTCATAGTTGTCGTTAGGATTCCAACCACTATACATGACACATGAATTGCAAGCACTGGCGTAACATGGCTGACTGCGCATTCTGGTATGCAAGTGTATGCAGCTAGTGTGACTCGTCATCACCACACTCAAGGACAAACATAGATAAGACTGCTCAGCTGACAGGTACAGTGCGTGGACCCGCTAGAAGACCACAGTTTTCTTGGGCCATTATCTCTGTAACCGTTCAACTTTGGACATAAGTGTTCTGGGTTATATCGGCATACTTTAACATAAAGAACACCCTCCTGAAATCTAGCACATTCCTCCTGGGACATCCTGTATGTTGTTTTTTAGATTAATAATTATTGTCTCAGACCATGCCTACAATTTCCATCAAAAGAGTTCAGTATACTTCACTTTATAGATATCTCCCACCACCACCACCACCACCACCACCAAATCATGGTTCTGGTTTCCTTCATCCAGTTGTTTCTTCAGTGATCCTTCCCTCTATCTTGACTTGTGTGATTTGTAATTTTTTTATAGTTTTGGAAGTCTCAATATTTGCACTCAGTTTATGTGTTGAATCAGAATTATTTTATATTGCAAATTTTTATTTTTAAGTATTTCAAGATGTCTAGGAATATGATTAATTCCATTGTGACACTTCATTACTTGAAATTTATTAATACTAAGAATTCCTTACAAACCAAAAAATAATTTAGAGTACTAGTATTTAGAGGTGACAGTCCAGGAAAAGCTGCGCATTGGATGGGCAGGTCCATTCGTGAAAGTTGAGGGGTGTTGATTAGTCATTCATCTGCATTCAGTGCGAGTAATCGTCTCAAGAACATTCTTCCTTGTAGAGTCAAGTTAAAAAGTGTTGACTCTTGGAGTCGTATTTGAGTGTATTATTCTCTAATTACTGTATTAATATTTTATTTTATTGCTTATTTTTATTTGTTGATTTTCTTTTTTGTTTATTTATATTTGTACATTTTTTCTATCTCCTTTAACATGCCACCTACATGAAGTAAATTGAGTGGAAAAGTGTTGCATTCACAATCAAGAGAAATTGTTAGTAATGTATGTAAGTATATGAAAGAGGCTGGGCCAACAATTACAGTGAAGAGCATAGGAGTGGAAGTAGCAAAGGCAACATGTGTATCGGAAAGTAGTGTCAGAAGAATAACAAGAGAAACAAAAAATATCGAATGAGTCTGTGGTGCGAAGAACAATTAATGACTTCTACATAGTCGAAAAACAGAGACCTACCCTGAAAAAAGTTCACGAAAAGTTAAAGAAACGTTAGATTTTCAGGGATGCATCTCCATATTAAAGAAAATTGCCACAGTGACACGAACTACACCATTTATGAAAAATGGTTAAAGGAGCGACTTATTCCTAACCTTCCCCCAAATTCTGTCCTTGTCATTGATAATGCTCCCTACCATAATGTACAACTAAACAGAGCCCCTAACTCAAATTCAAGATGAGATTTTATGATATCCTGGCTGAAATATCACCTTCCACCTATTACCTTCAGTAACACCGATTTTTCATCATTGCGGAATCCAGACATATCTCATAATATGATCCTACCACTCAAACCAAAATACCTTTCCTATAAAATAGATGGAATCTTTGCAGAACACAATCACGGTATTAATGACTCCCTCCGTATCACCCAGAACTCAACCCAATTGAGTTAATATGGGCCACCATAAAAAATTGGGTTGCTCAAAACAGTACCACATTTAAGATGGATGATGTCATTAAACTGGCAGACCAAAAATTGGCTTCCATAACTGCAGAAGAATGGCAACGTAGGTGCCAACATGTAAGGAACATTGAGCAACAATTAATGGCATGGGAAGGCCTTTTGGATGCAGGACGGGAGTTCGTCTTCCATGTTAGTGGTGATAGTGATGATAGTGATGACAGTTCTGATGATAGCTCCAATTCGTCTGGTGGTGACGAGGTAGGACAGGCATGTGGAGATTATATCTATGCAGACATTGCCGGTGTTGCCCCTTTAGAATAGACCTGTGTAGTATGTAAATAAACTCTTCATGTATATAACAGTGAAAAGTGTATAATAGTGTATAGTGCATAATAGTCTGCCGCTCGGCACTTAAAACTTAACGTCGGATGTGTGAACATCAACGAGAATAAACCACCATCACTATGCAACACAATGAGGTAAGAAGTTATTTCCTTTTGAGAACACCTGTACGGCATTCCCCGCCACACTTGTCGGCATGCTGGAGCTCTCCCCGCAACTACCAATACTTCTCCTACTCCCTGTTGGAGGACTGTCAGCTCTTAAGTACCAGAGCTGTAGATAGCTATGATAATGCAGTTAAGGGAAATGAGAAACATTTATTTTAATTCCATTATTGTCAGTAATTCATTCATTTATTCATTTTCTGTAAATACATACAGAAAACAATTTCATAGGATGTGGAAACAGTCACAAATCAAGCAGTGCAACGTACATATAGTCATACACATCAGTAAGTACATAATAAAGTAAGCATAAACATGCACATTATTTAATATAACTAAAACAATTCTTAAGTTACTGTAGTAGGAACATAATAGTACACTAGTAATAAAAACCTAGTAAATAGCAGCAAAGCAATAACTACAAATACAAGGGGCGTTCAAGTTCTAAGGTCTCTGATTTTTTGTTCTCAGGACTGGGAGCAGAGAGACATATGCGGTTTAGTTTAAAATACATGTGCACTCTTTGTGAATGCGTGACAGAGATGGCAGCACTGTATGGCACACAGAACTCTAGTAGTGGTGGGAAGAGTGAGGAGCCTTTTTGATACCTAAAATGGCGACGTTTTTTTTACAAGAACAGCGAGTAATCGTTCGTTTTCTCCACTTGTGTGGTGCGACACCCATGATGTTCTGTCAAGTTTGGTACAGTCACATAATTCAAGCATTCCTTGAAATGCAGTTGAAACTACCTCCTCAGCCAGGACATATATGTATATCTCTAGTTGCATAAATAAATGTAACGGATATTTTAACTATAATTATCACATAGGAGAATATGACTTCAAGTTTGAAATTATTGGTATGATATCATTATAACATTGTTTGTTATTCTTTGTACCAGTCTTTATTTTCACTCTGTATAGTACAAGATTCTCTGTAAAATATCTTTTTGGGGTGCAGGAAACATAAGCTTACAAAAGAAATGTCCTGTGTGAACAGTAAGGTCTCCAGTATAGTGTTCCTGTTGATAATCCTACATAGGTTACACAATTTAGTACCAAATTTCAAAAAAGCAAAAATGTATTTGTGTCTCTAAATCATGTTGAGCATAATAATGATGTACAATCAAAGATATTCTACTTTAGAGAAGTTATATCAGTTCACTGTAGAATTAAAATTATAGTGAGGAAGTTAGGTAATGAATTTTCTTTAGGTTTTCTTATGATAAATGTTTAATATTTATTTAACTCTTTGACTGGCGCAAAGGGTATTTAAATCCCACCCCTGTCCTGGCAGGCCCTTTAAACCTTATGTCACTAAAATGCATGTAGTTACTTTTTCCTAAACAACTTCAACACAAATTGGTTTTTAAAAACGAAATTTTCAGGAACTAATTAAAATACAATATTTTATGCAATAAATGCCTTTCCATACCTCTTTATTAGTTTTTCTTCGTGTGATAAA